GGAGAAAACAAGCACCGCGTTTCAGTACGTATCCAACCCAAAGACGCACGTGTTTTCCCGAAGCAGTTTTCTTTGCCTGCGTACAGGTGGCGCTCAACTCAGTTCCATTAGCTCCATAGCAGGGGTGTCCAACCCGCGGCCCGCGGGCCGCATGCGGCCCAAGGCAAGTTCCAATGCGGCCCAATAAATGTATAAACAAAACCGACAAATGTTTTAATTTTTTATTATTTATTTATTTCAACGGCATAAACTCAGAAAAGAAATTTCACAAAGCCATAAACCTTTATTTATATTTCAGTTTTGAGTGGAAATGAAATATTTTCATGTACTTGGAGATGTGTGAATGAGGAAGGATTACTAAATAAAGCTGCAGTTTTGACTCAAAGGATTATAGACCCAAATTTGGTGAAAGGAGAGAAAGGACAAAAGATAAAAAGTTGTCAGAAAGGTTAAATAGTTCTTCTGTTAGGCAAATATTGAGTCTTAATTTTCCAACCTTTCTCACTTCTTTATCTTTTGTCCTTTCTCTTCTTTTTCCGCATTTGGCTCTATAATCCTTTGAGAAACAACGCCAGCTTTATTTAGTATTCCTTCCAGCGTTGCAAGATTTGGCTACATTGCGCCAAATGTGGCTACTTTTTTAGTTTGACGTAAAAAAATATCATTTGGCGCTTTGGCTACTTTTTGGGCTACATATCATTTATAAATATATTAGTCGAATAAAAATGCACTTTAAAATGGTGTTTCGTCGCTTTTTATTAATCAGAGACTCAAATATTTGCGTTTTTTCAAATAAATGAATTTATCTATTTCTAAGTAAAAATTGAAAGTGTCTGTATAAGTAATTTTTTAAAATATTCTCTTTCGTGATAAAGTTTTAATACTTATTATTATAATCTAGACCAAGATATTAATCCTTAAATATACTTGTATATTGGGCCACAAGTATATATTATATATACTTGTGGCCCAAAACTCCTTGACTTCTTCCAATGCGGCCCAGAAAAACAAAAAGGTTGGACACCTCTGCTCTATAGGGAGATAGCCCTATGTAGTAAGCACAGAATTCTAAGTTGTGAGGAAATTGTAGGGTTTTAGAAGAACCCTACAATTTCCTCACTCCTTAGAAATGAAAAGGACGCCACCGAGAGAAAATAGTGCCTCGTCCGAAACAACTTGAAAGGAGATAGACTATTTCGTCAGGCTGGAGAGCGTATAAAAAGTTATAAGTGAATATTTCTTCTTCCAATTGTTAGACTAGTAATATCTATCACGTCTTTCTCAATTATGGATAATTAACAGAGACCGAGATTAAAACAGTTTTCTTTATTTCGCCTATTTAAGAATACATTCACGCTCACGGCTTCAGTGTCTCCAACATAACGAACAAAAGGTCAGTTCGTCAATATACTTTTGTTATCCACAATGATGGATATAGTGCACAATTTGTACACATGTTAATGGTGTAGTTTCTACATATCAGTCTCTTGCACTTACTGGCATGTTTACTGGTTCCCACAATTATTAACTCTTTATTACCTCTCAGAATGATTTTAACTTCGATATTCTGGTTCATAACACGACAAAGATTAAAATGTAGTTTTTATCGTAAATATTTTCACAAGTGGAAACCAAATAAACGATAACTACGAGCAATTGTTTATTGTGACATGATCACATTGCCGGGCTGCAATTCTTGATCATATTTTGAAATCATTTAATTCAAAATACCTCAAGTTAGTAGTGGCTTGCCCTTGTACGTCACACTTTTCCGTTAACAATAGAGTCGTGCCGGTCATCTGTTAACTGATGTTTTGAATTGAAAAAAACGTGACTTTCAGTTTGAATCGGAAGATCATATATGGTTAATTGGAGCCTCCTGTCCCTAAAGTTTCCACATCTGGTCTCGGATTTCATATAACTCCGTTCTCGAGGTTAAGACATGCGGACGGACGACAGTCGGAATTTATGGGTCTACAATGACAAAATTTGGAAATAAATGTAGCATTCCTCCGAAATCAAAATTGTCGAGTTGTAAGTAAAAAAAAAAAATTCTCAGCTGTCAGGAAATAAAATATCATGGCATGAGAGATACGAGCGAAAGTTTCAAAGTTGAATCAACACTTGCGAAACAAGTCGAACGCAGGTGTCAAATTGATTAAGCGATCAAATTAAGAATTTAGGGGAGAGATCCTTTAAAAAGTCAGAAATTCAAGGAGAAAGAATGATCGTTTCCTCCTAGCTCAGTCTGTTTAATCCTCTGCGTCGATTTCCCCGTTGTCTCGGACTTAATTTTCGTTCGGCCGTATTATAAAGGTTTTTCGGTATTTTTAATATTAACTTTATCCACTTTGATGTTGCATTAATAGGCGAAACCTGCAACCCCGACGGCGACCGAGAAATCTTTCCGAAAAGCGAAATAATATTGGCGAAATCCTAAGAATTTGATTTATTTCATGCCATGGCCAAAAATGGACGAAAAAGATATTTATTCGAACGAATTTCGGGCGATTTTCGGAGATGGTCAAGCCTCGAGACGTAGAATTTAAAAAGATCGTTTTTTACCTCTCCACGGTGGACATTCTGCATCATGTAAATGCAGAAGATAATTTGTTTATCAAATGATTGAAGCAAAATTTAAAAAATAAAAATAATTATAAATTAATTAATTAAAAAAATTAAAAAATTGATTTTTTTAAATTCTAATTTTTACGAAATTCGAACATTGTTGATGCGTTTTTTAACGTCTGTTCGAAATACGTCACACGTGACGAATCGCAGTTCGATTGCGTTTCTAGTCGGACGTGCTTTTGTTGTGCTCTTCGATTGCGTGCTGTTTTTTGCGGTTTGAGGACTTTTGCAGAAAAGATTAAAGATTTTTCAGGTAAGTCTTAATCCATGTTGACCCTAGACGTAAGAATTTATTTAATATTACTTGTAGAATCGGTCCCAGAAGACATCGCGACACATCATTCGATGATCGACCGTTTGCGCTTTGGATTCGAATCTTTAGATTTAGAAAGGCAGCTGCGGTGAGCATTTTGCTTTTACTCGGAGGAATTTAAGTATTAATTTAAGCTATTGTTTTCACTGGACTAATTGCAAATTTTCTTTTTTACAGAATGAAGACGTTGGTGCGGTGTTGGAGGCGGTTCCGGCGGAGGCAGGCGGTGGCGCCGGAGGGAGGGGGTTCCTCGGACGGGGAGGTGTCAGAGGAGAGAGCCACCGAATAATAAAAATAATAATTATTTAATATAATAAAATTTAATAAAATAAAAATNTCTATAGGGAGATAGCCCTATGTAGTAAGCACAGAATTCTAAGTTGTGAGGAAATTGTAGGGTTTTAGAAGAACCCTACAATTTCCTCACTCCTTAGAAATGAAAAGGACGCCACCGAGAGAAAATAGTGCCTCGTCCGAAACAACTTGAAAGGAGATAGACTATTTCGTCAGGCTGGAGAGCGTATAAAAAGTTATAAGTGAATATTTCTTCTTCCAATTGTTAGACTAGTAATATCTATCACGTCTTTCTCAATTATGGATAATTAACAGAGACCGAGATTAAAACAGTTTTCTTTATTTCGCCTATTTAAGAATACATTCACGCTCACGGCTTCAGTGTCTCCAACATAACGAACAAAAGGTCAGTTCGTCAATATACTTTTGTTATCCACAATGATGGATATAGTGCACAATTTGTACACATGTTAATGGTGTAGTTTCTACATATCAGTCTCTTGCACTTACTGGCATGTTTACTGGTTCCCACAATTATTAACTCTTTATTACCTCTCAGAATGATTTTAACTTCGATATTCTGGTTCATAACACGACAAAGATTAAAATGTAGTTTTTATCGTAAATATTTTCACAAGTGGAAACCAAATAAACGATAACTACGAGCAATTGTTTATTGTGACATGATCACATTGCCGGGCTGCAATTCTTGATCATATTTTGAAATCATTTAATTCAAAATACCTCAAGTTAGTAGTGGCTTGCCCTTGTACGTCACACTTTTCCGTTAACAATAGAGTCGTGCCGGTCATCTGTTAACTGATGTTTTGAATTGAAAAAAACGTGACTTTCAGTTTGAATCGGAAGATCATATATGGTTAATTGGAGCCTCCTGTCCCTAAAGTTTCCACATCTGGTCTCGGATTTCATATAACTCCGTTCTCGAGGTTAAGACATGCGGACGGACGACAGTCGGAATTTATGGGTCTACAATGACAAAATTTGGAAATAAATGTAGCATTCCTCCGAAATCAAAATTGTCGAGTTGTAAGTAAAAAAAAAAAATTCTCAGCTGTCAGGAAATAAAATATCATGGCATGAGAGATACGAGCGAAAGTTTCAAAGTTGAATCAACACTTGCGAAACAAGTCGAACGCAGGTGTCAAATTGATTAAGCGATCAAATTAAGAATTTAGGGGAGAGATCCTTTAAAAAGTCAGAAATTCAAGGAGAAAGAATGATCGTTTCCTCCTAGCTCAGTCTGTTTAATCCTCTGCGTCGATTTCCCCGTTGTCTCGGACTTAATTTTCGTTCGGCCGTATTATAAAGGTTTTTCGGTATTTTTAATATTAACTTTATCCAGTTTGATGTTGCATTAATAGGCGAAACCTGCAACCCCGACGGCGACCGAGAAATCTTTCCGAAAAGCGAAATAATATTGGCGAAATCCTAAGAATTTGATTTATTTCATGCCATGGCCAAAAATGGACGAAAAAGATATTTATTCGAACGAATTTCGGGCGATTTTCGGAGATGGTCAAGCCTCGAGACGTAGAATTTAAAAAGATCGTTTTTTACCTCTCCACGGTGGACATTCTGCATCATGTAAATGCAGAAGATAATTTGTTTATCAAATGATTGAAGCAAAATTTAAAAAATAAAAATAATTATAAATTAATTAATTAAAAAAATTAAAAAATTGATTTTTTTAAATTCTAATTTTTACGAAATTCGAACATTGTTGATGCGTTTTTTGACGTCTGTTCGAAATACGTCACACGTGACGAATCGCAGTTCGATTGCGTTTCTAGTCGGACGTGCTTTTGTTGTGCTCTTCGATTGCGTGCTGTTTTTTGCGGTTTGAGGACTTTTGCAGAAAAGATTAAAGATTTTTCAGGTAAGTCTTAATCCATGTTGACCCTAGACGTAAGAATTTATTTAATATTACTTGTAGAATCGGTCCCAGAAGACATCGCGACACATCATTCGATGATCGACCGTTTGCGCTTTGGATTCGAATCTTTAGATTTAGAAAGGCAGCTGCGGTGAGCATTTTGCTTTTACTCGGAGGAATTTAAGTATTAATTTAAGCTATTGTTTTCACTGGACTAATTGCAAATTTTCTTTTTTACAGAATGAAGACGTTGGTGCGGTGTTGGAGGCGGTTCCGGCGGAGGCAGGCGGTGGCGCCGGAGGGAGGGGGTTCCTCGGACGGGGAGGTGTCAGAGGAGAGAGCCACCGAATAATAAAANAATAAAAATAATAATTATTATTTTTATTTTTATTTTGAGGGACCGTGCTGTTTGTGGTTTTGTTGCTGTGGACGGCTGCGGTTCCCTTGGCCTAGGCGGTAATCCTCTTCGATTTCCTCTTCTTCACCCGGATGCGACTTTATTACCGGATTCGACACTTTTCACCCGGACTCGACACCTTTTCCCGGACGTGACCTCTCTTACCCGGTCGTGACCCATGGACTAGTCTCCCGAACGTGACACTCGGTCGACGACAACGGATTTGACTCCCGATTGTGACCACCCGGATGTGACACGTTTACTCACCGGACACGACATTCGGCCGACCTTTCTTCCCAAACAGCCAGTGGCGTAGCGTAGTGGGGCGGCAAGGGCGGCACTTTTAGTGGGCGGCAAAATTTCACAATAAATAATAATAATATCTTGTAAAAATTTGAACAATTTCATTTCATATTTTTGTCGCATCTACGATTCGGACCGATTGAAATGAGCACGGAATTTTTCATTACTTATTCCAGAGTCGGTAGATTAACTGGTCTTTCGACTTCCTATCTTCGCTCATTGCTAGAATCAACTAGAGACAAATGTTACCACCAGGGGCACTGCAATCACTACAAGACCGCTAGATCGAATCCCTGTGAGGTCGAATGTTTTCTTTTTATTGAAAGATATATAACCTTCGAGTTCGATTTCATAATTTTTATATGCATTTTATTATAAGAATGAAAAAGCTTTTATTTAAACCCAAAACCAGGTTTATGGATAAATAAATGACACTTAATAAAACATTAAACACCTTCTATCGCTGAGAAATGTTTATTTAATAAAACACTAACATTTTCAGCCTCATGGAATAAACTATCCTCAGGTGTAAATGAGTTCGAACGTATTTTATTAAATAAACATTTCTCAGCGATGGAAGGTGTTTAATGCTTTATTAAGTGTTTTAAAAACGCTGATTTTATATTTAGTTAAATAAATGACAAGGAACAAAACTGACACAATAGTATTATTATTATTAAATTGTGCTATTATGTGAATTTATTATACGTTAAAAATTTATTGTACATACAAACAAATTATATTATACATATTAATAATAATTATTATTATTATTATTTGCGTTATTAAAATTTACTTTAAGTGAGAAATTTTTCTATGGTTTTTACTTTCAACTGATGAAATAAATGATTGATTAATCGTTCGCGTGAAAAAATGCAATCGACAAGTAACAAAAAAGTGCAAAAATCTGGAAGTCAAGTAGGACTTGTGACCAGCATTGTCACATCCTATCATCAATGTAACAGAGCACTGATTTAATATATTATCCATTATTGAAAAATAAACATCCATGTTTGGGTTTGTTAATTTTTCGCATACTTTGCTTTCTGCCCAGTACATCAATTGGCAAAGCTTATAGCTTGGATATAACAAACCTCCTCGAGATTTGATGAATGTAAATGTCTTCTCTGGTGCAGCATCCTCAGGTTTTGCTGTTAATATATTTTTGCATTCATCACAACCGAGTGATGGCAGTAGACGATAAATAATATAACCTCCTAAATAATGTAGGATAAACTTAAATGTTTCTGGTGTACAATAATCATGATCTAATAATTCACTATCACTAGGATCTCCATAGTATAGACTTGGATCACAAAGCAAATTTTCTAAATGTTCTTCCAATTGTTCTTGAACTTCTCTGAATGGTTTTTTATGACTATGAAGAAGATTTTTTAAAGTAATAAGCATAGATCCTGGATCAGTTTGAACTGATGCTCGTTTGGGAGGACGAACCAAACTGTACACAGTCATCAGTCTGTACAGGTATAAGAACTGTACTGTTGTGGGATGAGAATTGCTTCCACTTCCTTGTCTTATCATTCCAAAGAAACGCTAATTGAAAAGAAAACATAAGTTAAGGTTTAATACAAGATTATATAATCATTACACTAAGTCAATTTTACCTCTAATGGGTCCTGATTAAAGTGAGCTGTCAGGATATAATATGAGTTTGGAAGCAATTGTCTGACGAGTGCTAAGATACTAGTCAGCGTCAAGCGTAGATTTTCTGCTGTCTGGTGGCTCAAAAATCCCTTTTGATCAGTGCTTCTAATCTGTAATCTGAATGCTTCCCATCTATTTAACCATTCTAGAGATTCTTCAATAACCTATTTTTAAAAAGTTGTTAATTAAAACATTTATAGTTTTTGCTAGTGAATCATTACTATTACCTTGAGATCATTTGAATCATGTCTGATTCCTTCCTGTGGCAATCTACGATTTAAAGCATCAAAAAGAGCATTGATGTGACGTATGAAACTTATTGTAACATCTGCATTCTTTAGGATAGCAACCTCACGCTGTTTATAAAACAGCATAGCATCAGCAAAAGTATTACTAAATATCTATAAATATATGAGATAAATAAAAGTATTCTTATCAAGTCAAGATTATATAAGTAAAAAAAAGTGTTACTTGAGCTGCCAGCAATACACTCATTCTCTGGAAGTTATTGGGATTAACATGTATTTCTGTCACTTTGGGACATGCCTTTAATCCCTTTGGTAATTTGGAATCTTCATCAACAACTGCTTTAAAATGCTGTAATTCTACCCTTCCTTCAGGAAACTAAAAGTAAAAATGCAGAATAATGCAATGGCTTATATTATAAATTAGGTGAAAACACTTTATTTTCTTAGTTTTACCTGAAAGTATGTATTTTTCAAAAGATTGTTTCGCATACATTTTAAAATATGTGGTACATCAATAATAGCCAGTACTTGTCTATCTGCAGCAGGGTTTGTAAATGAGCATTGTATATTATTTGTGTCTGCACAAATTCCTAGAGCTTTTAAAGCTGCTTTGTTTGTGCTGGCACCATCACAAACTATTGCATTGACTATTGCACCACACTGTTCTAAATGAATAATTGCTTGCAAAATAAGTTTTGCAACAGTAGAACCTGAGACAGAGCTTTTTGAACAGAATGTGCCAATACATTGTACCCAACTAGCAAAGTGAGGTCTGAACATAAACACTAGGCCATGATCACCTGCTGTAAATTCACTCTGTGGCAATTCAGAATTGTCACCATAATCAACAAGTCCAATCATTTCACCAGTAGCTTTTGAAAGTTCTATATGTTTTTGAAGTGTGATTTCATCAAAAATTAAAACTCCCTGGCGTTCTGTTTGTGGAATTGTCTCCAATTTTGTCTTTAAAATAACAAAAAGATCTTCATCAAATCCAAATTTGGCATTAATGCCTCTGATATATTGATGCAGTGTAGACTGACAGGGTAAAGGCAAGTAATCATTATTTCTCAAAAATTCATAGAGAGATGGTGACCTAATTTTTAAAAGTAAACAGTCAAGTAACCAATTAATGTCATATCTCATACCCTTTTTGCTTTTTATATGGCATGCTTTCAGCATGTGCTCTATTATAAGTTTCTGTCTTGGTGGTAAGGAATCAAGTTTATCAGCTGACAACTGTTTCATTTTAAGTTCAGTATTTTCTTGATGAAGCTTGAGATTTTCTGTTTGAAGGGTTTTCAGTTTCTTCCTATAGATCATCTTTTGCTTTCTGCACCGATATAAATCCTCTTTGACTTTTAACAATTCAGACTGCAAAGCAGAGATTTTATTGACATATAACAGCTCAGGATGCTGTGTAGTTGCTGCTTCAGATGTGGAGGGTTCTTCTACTTCCTTTTCTACAGTTGTTACTTGGGAGTGTGTATCATGCAAATCTAATGATTGATAAAAAAAAATATCAGACAATTAATCTTAAAGTATTTATAAGGAAAGATGGGCCACAGAGAGATAACCCTCAGTGAATCACAGTGGATCTCACAAACCCAGCTCAATCTTTACTTAATTTTTAAATATAAAATGTTCCTTAAATATAGATAAAATAGATAGATAGATAAAATTTAATTTTATATTAAAACACAGGGTCCGAGAGACGCACTGCAACTCAGGCAAGGGCAAAAAATTACATGACTCACTGAGGATTAAGATTACATAAAAACCATAAATAGTTACCTTTGGTATTGTCTTTTTGTGATCCCTTCCTAGATGGTTCTTCATTTCTTGTGAGACATCGCGTTGATCGTTTTTGAGGTACAGACCTACTAATGTACTTAGGACAATTAGGGAAGTTTGATGGATATGCATCCGACGTTAATGCCCAGCGATCTCGTGGAATTTCTACTTTCTCTCCATTTATAACATGAGAGAAGGTTTTTAAAATAAATCTACTCGCAAAATGTACGTCACAAACGTAACATTTATTTGTTAGCATCTTGTCGTCTCGTGGAATGCATCGCATCCACTCCTCAATCTTATCGCTAGGAGCACGGAAGAAATGTCTCTTCTCGTTCGATGACTTATATCCTGCCTTGCATCCTGGCACAAAGCACGTTGGCATTTTTATGGAGCTAAAAAAACAATTATTATAGGTCAAAATCACTGACTTCAGTATATACCTAGCAAGAACAACGATCTCCTGCTAACAGTGGCGCCGACTAGCGGCAAATATTGTCTCTAGCTAAGTTTGAACTATTAGTCGAAAGACCAGTTAATCTACCGACTCTGCTTATTCTGTGACGAAACTGGATTTTAGTCTTTTAAATTGAGATACCTAAATTTCGCCCTAAACTGTTCGCCTAAACTGTTTGCAGTGGCGTAGCGTGGGCTGACACCCACGCTACGCCACTGCAAACAGCTGTTATGAGGATTAAGCTTCCGGGTAGGGTAGGGTAGGCTAGGCTAGGCTAGGTCAGGTCAGGTCCTTCGCTCTTCTCATAACCCTTTTCGGGAAGGAAGACTGTCTGATAAAGGTAATAATCTTGACCTTAGGTAATAGATGAATAAACTCGTTTTCTCACTGTTTTTGTGTTTTGTAGGAACATTTGGGAGGTAGATTCTTCTCCCTCCCCAACTTTATCACGAAGAT